ATGACAAGAGGAAAACACAGGGACAAGGACCAGACAATAACCCAAAGGAAAACATGACATGGAAAACAGCAAAAACACCCAAACCTACAAAACTATAAACGTGACATAACATGGGAATCGTGACATTGTCTGAGGCTATTAGAATGTCATTTGTAACTTTAACCAGAGCTGTCTCTGTGCTATGTTGTGTTCTAAAGCCAGACTGAAATTCTTCAAATAAATCATTGTTTTTTAAGTAATCACACAACTGTTTTTCGACCGCTTTCTCAAGAACTTTTGAGAGGAACGGGAGATTACACTCTTGTCATTCAGATTCCTTTTACTGGACTGATATGGAAAACTATCAATCTTTGTGTCCTAGCATCGACTGTGCTGGGATTCTGAAGCTGAGGAACTCGGACATCGAGCTGAGGAAAGGAGAAACGGACGTTGGGAGGAAGAACACTCGAGTCCGGATGGTGTTTCGGGTTCACCTCCCTCTGACTCCTGTAGCTCAGCCCGGCCGAGTCCTGGCTCTGCAGGTGGCCTCCCTCGCCATCGAATGCTGTGAGTATCTGGTCAGATGCACTAAACTGCAAAGAGGGTAAATTACATTACACTTTTATCCAAAGAGACTTACAGTGAGTGCAATAAACCATGAGGATATACAATCAGGACCAGCAAGAATCCTGCAAGTAAACTAACTGTTTATTTATTAATTAATTTGGTTGCGTGTGCGACGAAGGATATGTATACTTTCTGTGTTTACTTTTTCTCATTCAATACCTGGGTCCCATTTGCAATGAAGGAGTATTGAGCTGATTGGCCGATGCAGAGCGAAAACATCTTTACATACATACTTATGAAGAAGTTGACAATATCAGATTTTCAATGCATAATTATCATGGTCAAACAAAAATGTGGAAGAAGAAAGGCTGTCAGGGAAATGGTTCTTTAACGTATTTGTTGTGTGTTTTGTCTCTTTTTTGGCTTACGAATTACATTCAAATATAAGGAGGAGGAGGTGAGAGAATGATCATGAAATCAATATTCAGTTTTTAATATCACTGTCATCATAATGTACCAGTATATCGTGCAGTCTCAATACTAAAACATGTGGTTAAAGCCTCTATGTGTAAGGTTTGTTTGCAACATGCATTGCCACTTTAATATAATAATAATAATAATCTTTATTTGTATAGCAACAAGTGCAGTCCGACGTGCTTCACATAGACATTTCACAGAAAATTGATATCACACAGAATACAGTTACCAGTAAAAGACATAGAAACAAACTAAAAATAGCATATAGAGTAGACATATAACTTTAGTTAGGAGCACATTCATTGGTTTCATTTGCTTACTGTCCCTGTCTCAGCCCAGCGCTCGGCTCAGGAGCTTCCCGTCATCGAGTCCATCAGCCTGACCTCCTGCTGCGTGGAGGGGGGAGAGGAGCTCCTGCTGAGCGGGTCCAACTTCCTGCCCATCTCCAGAGTGCTTTTCATGGAGAGAGGGACAGGTAAAGGAGAATTAATCCTTTTTAATGGTGTCTCTCTGGTCTTTTGTATAAAATATCTTTATGAGTTCCTGACCATCAGTGAATATCTGCTTTTCAGTAAGGCTTTTTAACAGCAGTCGATCATTTGGATATTGTACAGATGTGCAGCAGAGTCAGTCTGCACAAGAACAGGATATCAGTTCTTACCTGCAAATGCGCGAGTTGTTAGCGATTTGATAAAGAAACTGCTCAAAATGTGTATTAAAACGAGATTAAACAGTTTTAGAGGGCCAGTAAGACGGTTTTCAGGAGGTTAAAAACACAAAGGAAGATTTTAGATTTTAGATTAAGTAGATGTTTCTATATACAATTACAGTTTTAAGAGTGCATGGAGGAGAAGAAGGGTTCACACACTTTTTTATGTTTGAGGGATAATTCACTGTTTCCCTTTTACATTCTATCTTTATGGTAGAAAACAAGCGGCTCCTTTAAAAACCAGATGCCTACCTTCCAGGAACTCTTCCCAAAGAAATCAGAGGAGACAGATTTACGAGCATAACCAACTGGTTTTACAAAAGCTTTAATGTTAGGCATTACCTGACTGAATTATATTTATTAAGCTTATTATGGGTGTGCGTGTGTGCGTGTTTTGTATCTAGGTTACGCTTAATGTTACCTTATGTTTTGTTAGATGGTAAACTACAGTGGGAGGAGGAGGCTCATGTGGATCGTGACAACAGCAATGAGGTAATTTCACATGTGTGATATCAGTCCTAAAAACGTCCAAAAAAACTTGCTGATTGTGCAAAATCTCTGCAACTACAGAAATGCTTTATGAAGTTGTAATTTAATTCAGCAGATACAACTAAAGGGTCTAGTTTCTCAGTAATATTCTGTGTCTACACCTCTTTGTCGAAGTGTTTGATGTGTGTGAGGGTCCCGGCCTACAGCGACATGTCCGTCGGTCTTCCTGTGTCCGTCAGTCTTTACGTGTCCAACGGGAAGAGGAAGAGGAGCAGCACACACTGCTTCAAATATATCCCCGGTGAGTGTCCAAACTCTGCTGGGGCTTGGTGTGTGTGTGTGTGTGTGTGTGTGTGTGTGTGTGTGTGTGTGTGTGTGTGTGTGTGTGTGTGTGTGTGTGTGTGTGTGTGTGTGTGTGTGTGTGTGTGTGTGTGTGTGTGTGTGTGTGTGTGTGTGTGTGTGTGTGTGTGTGTGTGTGTGTGTGTGTGTGTGTGTGTGTGGAAATGCGGAAATGCGGAAATGCTCTTATGGTATTTCTGATATTAATTAAAAAACATACATTATGGAATATTTTACTCTATGATTTACAAGTACAAACATTGTGCTAGCTGCAAGAGAAGAAAGTTATACACTTTGTGCAGGATTTTACTCCACTTCTACATCACTACAGACTACTAACTTTTTTGATAAATATATACGTAACGTTTTGTAACATGCAATACATGAGTTAACTTCCCCAATAATTGTAACTGTGATAGAGGTTGAAATTGTTTTTGAAAGTCTAGGGTTCAGATTTTTTGTTTCAGTAATCTGGTCTTTTGTTAACATTTTTTATTTTATTAAATACTTTAATTACCAAAGATTCATCAAACATTTACATTAGTATAAAAAAGAAAATAAATATTATTATGAGATATATTAAATAAAAAAGGAATGTGGCACTGCTTTTATCTTTCTGAGGGAAATAAACAAAATTAAACTCCTGAAAGAAATAAAATATATAAATACTAACAAACTATCTTACTTGATAGAACATATTTAAAAGTATATATAAAAAGATAATAAAATATCCTCATATTATTCAAACTGTTATAATAATATATAAGTCATATTTTGTATAACATGATTAACTTCTCTAATAATTGTAACTGTGATAGAGGTGAAAAAATGTCTGACAAGTCTCGGGATCCGATTTATTTTTTCAACTTTCGGGTTTGTTTCAATAATCTGGTTATATATAAATATAGAAAACAATAAAGGAAATTAAAAAAGGAATGTGGTACTGCTTTTATTTTAGGGAAACAAACAAAACAAAATCCTGAAGAAAAAAAAAATATATATATTATGCAACTTTCTTAGTCTTCCTTGATAGAACATATTGCAAACTATATATACAAAGATAATAAAATATCCACATATAACTCAAACTGTTCCTCCTCATAGTGTTGTTCAAAGAGGACGACCCCCTGCTGTCCCGGCCCTCCGTGCTGCCTCTGGACGGGGGGGTGCAGCCCAGGATGGACTTCCACATGCGAGGCGACCCCATGGAGGATGATCGAGGCCTGGGCTTCCTCCACCTGCCTCCTTACCCCTCCACCTACTCCCCCCCCTGCCCCGCCATGAGCTACCACGAGGAGTACTGCTCCAAACCTGACTCCGTGGAGGAATCGCGGGCGGCGCTGAGCGAGCGGCAGCCCAGCTTCGAGAACCTGGAGCTGGGTTTCACCGAGCTCCTTCCCCCCTTATACCCACGCGGCCCACAGCCTCCATCCCCCTCCCCTTCCCCCTGGCTGGACTCACCCTACCTCTCATCTTCACCTTCTCCCTCCCACTCCTCCTCTCTCAGCCCGTTTCCTGCCGGGAGTCCCATCTCCACCTCCCCTCTGCCTCCCATCCCCACCTCCCCGTACCCCCAGTACTCTGCGTACCCTCAGGAGGTCTGTCCCTCACCCCCCTCACACCCCAGCCTGTATCAGGACATGTGCCCGGCACCCTACTCCCACTACGAGGGCTGGGACCCCCAGGGGAGGATGCTGGGGATGGGGCACGGGGGAGAGAGGGACGCCAAGATCCAGGACTGCCCTCTGGAGTTTACCAGCTCTTCTATGCACCACATCACTTTTGAAGAAGGTGAGTTGAGCCTATTTGTCGCTATGTGAGTGCATGTGTGTATAATTCTGATTGTATTTCTAGATTCAAGATTCAAGGTTTTTATTGTCATTTGTATATAGCTACAGTGTAGATATGACCAGAGATGGTAAAAGTACACACATGCTTTACTCAAGTAGAAGTACAGATACTCGTGTTTAAAAATACTCTGGTAAAAGTAGAAGTACCGACTAAACTTCTTTACTCAAGTAAAACTAAAGAAGTATGGGCTTTGAAATGTACTTCAGTAAAAAGTACCCATAACTAGCAGCTGTTTTAAAGAGTACCTGACCTCCCTTTATATTGCCAAGGCACACAGGGGGATAGGTAGTAATGAATTGTTTCCATGCTGAACAACGGCAACATGACACGTTTCCAATTGGTCCTTTGTTTTGTATGACTTATGGTANCATTGGTCCCTCTTCTTTAGAGAAGACCAGGAAATGATGGATACACGGATCATGTTCAAATCAATAGGCACGCAATGACTCAAAATAATAATGATCACGCCACCAAACACACATTCAAACTAAAGGAACCAGCCTGTTTGGAAAATGAGAGAAGTAGAAAGTACAGGTATTTGTGTAAGTAGCAGCCAGATGAATGTTATGGATGTTCTTTCAAAAGTTCAGGTGTTTAACAGTCTTATGGCCTGAGGGATGAACTGTCCCTGAGTCTGGTGGTTCTTGTCCAGATGTTGCTACATTACAGACGTGTACAGGACAAATAAAGATGATAAATTGTTATTTGCAAAATAATTAAGCAAATATGGAAGTGAGGAAGGATAATTGTGTTGGATCTAGACAAGGAATTTAACCAAGTACATTGTTGAGGTACTCTACTTGAGCCTTTTATTTTTAGGCATTCATTATACTGTCATTGTGCAATACAGTGCTGTGCAACGAAATGCAGTTGTAGCCTGGTCTATAAGTGTTACACAAGAAAAATCATGAATAAAACATTATTGCATTTGAATCAGGAGAAATGTTAACTGCAAAATAAAATGATGGTGAATTTTCTGCACAGATAATACAGATAATAGGGATTTAACATGTGAAAGAAACAAAGTAATTACATACATGAAACACATCTATTGAAACAAGGATTCCTTAAATGTGTTGTTAGATAACCAAGATAGGTTTTGAGCGGTAGGTCTGCACAATATTAAGGAACATTTTGATTATTTTGCTAAATATCCTAAAAACGACATTACTTCCAATGCAAGGCAACGTACAGGCTGATATTATCTTATGTTTTGGGGAATATCGTAATCAAATTCACACCTAATGACATTTAATTCAGTTTGGACTAGCCTTTTGAACTGGTCCGTGATGAAACACTGTAATATCAGACAACTAAAAAAAGCAATATATTTCATCCACAAAGAGGGAAAAAACGTGAGTAATAAATGACCCGACTTTTTCCTTAGATATCTGCACTATTGAGATACTGAAAAATATGTCATAGCCAAAGATTTGTGTTGTAGGAGACACGTTATTTAGATCCTGCAATTCCTGCTGCTTTTAAAATACATAAGTGTACAATTATTTACAGGCTAATACAGTTAGATTACTTTAGATTCTAGCAATACAAAAGCTCAAAACTAGATGAAAAGGATTGTAATGTTTCTGTTCTCCCTCCGCAGTGTCAGAGTTCATCGGGGAGGACATCCAGTCTTACCAGTCTTCAGGCTCACAGATGGACAACCAGCCAAACTGAGCACAGAGCTCATCATCCCGTTTGATATCCAGCGTGATTTTAAATCCATTATGCATTTGGTATTAAGATGCATCGCTCCAGTTTCATGTGATATTGGCAGGGGGATTTTCTTACCAGGACACTGTTGTAATTATGACCACAGGTAACTGTTTTTATGTGGTTTTATAAAGGGAAACTATTGTTTTTAACATGTTTTCAATATAAATTATACAAGAACGTGCTTGAGTTTTGTGTGTGTCCTGTGTTTTTATTGCAAAAAAACTAACTCTCAAAAAGCAGAATCTAGAACAGGTGGACTTATGGAAAAAGGCTTAGACTTTATGGAAATCTTATTGGTTTAAGATGATTGATCTTATTGCTTCAAGATGCCGTATTCGTAATATAAAATATATATCTTTCATATTTTTTGAGAGATGCAATTATGACTTTATTTAAACATTGCACCAGCAGAAACGTAATCCATCCCGCAGTAGGAACACATTTTTCTGATCAGTTCCTGGACATTTTCTCTAATGGTTCCTGGAGTAATGGTGCCAGGATCCTGTGTTGCCAAATAGCAATAGCAATTATTTTTCAGATTTTATTTGCAGTATTGCTTAATGAAATAATTTAATAGCAAGACAAAATGACTCATAGACGTTACTGATAAACCATCTGCTATCTGAGTAGACGTTGAGCTGCTGAAAAGTGTGTTAGTTTGACCTGAAAAAGGATGATGTGACCAGGCTGGGTCTGTTTCAGCTGTTTGAAAGGTTTGCATGAGAAATAGTTTGTTAGATCCTCTGGAAGTAGAGCAGATTTGTCTTGAGGAACAGTGCCACCTGGGGGGACTGCTTTAACACTCCTTAAACAGCAACTGAGATTTCACTTATTCACCTTGAAAACTCTTATTTCCTTCTATGTGTACTTTCTACACCAAGAGCAGTGTGGCTATAAAGTGCATGGGCTCATCGTATTTCATTATTGCCAAACAGCAAAGCAATAAAATACATCTGACAAAAGGACGCAAAAGTAGCATTATCTGTTTTCATGACAGTTTTATAGGTCTAAAGGGTTCAGTGCAAACCGTAAATGGGCATGTTGGGAGCTTGTTGAGACCAGAAAAGGCTTTAATGGTAAGGGATAGATGTAGTTGGTGTAGAGTCTGAGCCATGATTCATTCGTGGCATTCACTACTCAAGTTCAAGCTCCTTTTTTCTTCTGGTTGCATGTGAGGAAAGGTAGTCAAACGTTGAAAGTGAATGCAGTGATTTTGGTTCAAAAGGGGAAGACCTACAGTAAGCACAGACCACTGACTCAGACGATAAATTGCAGAAAATAAAGAATTATTTGTCTTTAGGGATCACATGTTGGCTGTCTTTTGTCATTTACATAGCTTGTTGTGCATTTCAACACGTTTAAATATTCAAAAATACAACGTTTTCTTTCACAAATTCAGAAAATAAGAAGAATGTGGAAAAGCTCCTTTTGTTGTGTCAATAAATGGCATTCCTCACATTTAAAAACTCTTAGAAATAATCTATTTTACTTACATTTTGAGTAACTTAAAGTTTACTTACAACTATTGAGGCTGTATATTGTTTAAAGATTTCATTACAGTCATTTGGTCAAAACTCAGCAGCCATGTATAGAGTATGTCTCTCATGGTGTTTTAATGTGAAGTAAAAATACACCTTTATTTGCTATTGCATTATCTGTGTCACATAGTTTCCCAGCCTTGAAATGAACAAGCAAGGTCAACCTGACTTCAAGTTGCTCATTGACCCAGTGGAATGTTTTTTTTTATGTATTCCAGTGATTCATTTAGCAGCAGTCCTACACCAGAAAGTCTTCCATCAAAAATATTTCTTAAAACCTTGATTTAAAGGTGGGGTAGGTAAGTTTGAGAAACCAGCTCGAGGTACACTTTTTGTTATATTCAATGGAATGCTCTTAACATCCCGATAGCAATGAATATCTGAAGTGCTTTGACAATAAATCCATAAAAAAAATTCATCTGTGGAAGCCGTAGTACTGTAGAAAGCACGAACAATCATCTGAGCCGGCCCGGCTAAATAAACTGGATGGCCTACCTGCCTGTCAGCCTTCCATCTGTACACAAACTTATCTCGTGCCCTCATTGGTCATGTGCGCATTCGTGTGTGTTGGAGGAGGGGCTCTGTAAGGAACTGGCAGATTTTTTCCGGCTGTGTATTTTCAAATTCTAGCGTACTCGAGCTGGTTTCTCCAAAATTACCTACCCCACCTTTAAGTATTACGTCATTACTGACTCGACTATGCACAACAAAGTCCCTCAGATTGTCACAAGGGGGAGGTATAATCTAAAATATCTCACAGTTCTCTGAGCGCCTGACTGACACATACGGGTTCATGAAACAGCAGCCAAATGGAGCACCAATGGGAATGCCTGTGTAAGATCATAAAGAGCCCATGGGAAAACGTAATGGTCCATTATAATCTAAACCTGGCCTCCGTCACTGAAAAGCTACAGTCCCAAAAGACGAGCTAACTATAGGGTCCCTAACTATAGGATCACTGAGGAATGTGGGAATCATACAGAGCTACAGCTGTCTGCTTTATACACTAATGTAAAGATGGTTTACCATAATACAAACTATAGTGTTATACTTCTTACGCTGATCTACTGGTAAAGTCTCTGATTCTAACACTAAGATACCAACTCATGCTAATGCTAATAAAGCCAATCATTTTTTTATCTTTTTTAATAGGCTACTGGCAGTGATATCAATGGTAGCCTACAGTGTGATTGAATACACAGAAAAAAATCAGCAAACCACAGCAGGCAACACAGGTTCTAAAATCAACTTAAATATATACAATATAATTTTGCATTTAATAAGTTAAAAATAAAAATGTATATAACACTAGAATGGTGACCAATGTAAAGCAGGTATTATGTTTTTCATGTTTGCTATGCTGTAGTGTGTTAGCATACTAAGATATGCAAATTAGCTACTTGTAATTTAGCATTGAAAACTGTAAATTAAAATCTTGAATGTGGGTAATAGAGAGGATTTTAAAAGTGTTGACGCAAAGGAAACAGATCTGGAAGAATAGTTTGACATTTTGGTAAATAAGAGAGTTACATAAGAATATCACCTAATGATTAAGCTAGTTAGCTATTTAGCTTGGCATAACATAAAGACTGGAAACAGGAAAACAGCCTGACTGCCCAAGGGTAACATATTCCACCCCTATCAGCACCTCTAAAGCTCACAAATTAACATTGTATTTATTAATTCTTTAATGAAACCGCACAATAAAACAAAAATCCTTTTAGGAAGCATCATATGCTGGACTATTACTGCAGTGACTTCCTCGTTGCTGCTCCACATCAAAACCACTTGTTATTGATTCATAGAAACAGAGTAGTGCTCCCCATGAGTGACGAATTAACTGAACTTTATGAGCGAAAAGGGTTCCCCTTTCAAACCCGTGGATAACAGGAGATTAGTAACACTTACAACACAGGAAAGAGTCAAAGCAGGTCAGAGGATGAGAATGTGTTGAAATAAAAGATCCAATCCCACAAAGTCACTTCTCTTGTTATTGTGACGCACATCTGTTTGCTATTGAGACTCTTGGCTTGGAAAGAGTATCTGTGGGAATATGCATGAACCTCGGTACTGGAGGAATGGCGGCCTTTCCACATCTGTGTGTCTATTTTAATGCGTTGTATGTTTTTAGTTTAACACTTGGTTGCTATTCAAGTGTGCTTGTTGTTACACACTTGAGTCTCAGATATGTTGATAGCGACACATCCGCTTTAGGAATGGAAAGAAGATGCTGCGTTTGAGACAGACTTCTTTCTATGGCCTCTCTCATTTGGAAACTGTTTCAAGCTATTGTTTTGTAATGGTCCGCCTCTGGCCAACTATATGATGAG